AAATAAAGACAGAAAGATCTATAGAGAGAGACACACACACACACACACAGAGGGGGGAGGGGTAGTATGGAGAACCTGCCGAGCTGCGGCCGATTCACAGGGGCGATGAAGACGAGTTCATCTGCAACTTTCGGACATGGTGTTCAGAGTTTAGGAGGCTCCAAGAAACGGGCCTTAGTCATGCTATGCGACACATAAAACCAACGATACTATTGCCAATTTCGGAGCAGAAGAATTCTGTGCAAAGAAGGGTGCCAAGCACTTGGCGAGGGAAAGATTGCAAGCTACGAATATGCAAAAACCGATGTACCTAACTGTCAGGTCCCACGGCGTGCCCGTCGGCCCCTGGAATCAAAATATCTATTGCTTGTGAGAACTTCGTCATCTGGACCCATAGGCCCCGTAGTAGTTCCTTTTTGGGATTACCTTATAGGATCCTGCATATGAACCCTAAAAAGGAACAAGTATGGAGCCTATGGGGAACACCAAGAAATCAGGCTCTCAACCCCGAAATCTACTTGAATCCGGACTGTCAGGCTCTCGGACTCAGCATGAAAATCGGTGGGCTTCCGGTTTTCTGCTTCGTTTCAGCCAAAGGTTAAGGGCCCAAAGTGCGCAAAGAGCTCTGCAAGGCTTCTGTGCGAGATTTATGGACATCTATATTATGGTTCTTACAATGTTGGTACCCGGGTTTCGGGTATGATAGTAGGATATAGGTTAGTGGTATGCTGGATTGCTCGGCACCTGGACCCTGAAAGGAGGTTGAAAGACATTCGATTGTGACGTTGCGATGTGGCGGCAAAGCCAACCCCCTCATCCGACACCCCAAACAGACCCCGCCACCGAAACCATGAACGCAAACTCCAAACCCGAAGCACCAAGCCGCAAGCCTGACCAAATGCCATATAAACTCGACTCATGCCTGCAGCTACACAAAACCCCCAACAAAAACTGATCACCAGAACAAAAACTTCATCCACCCCTAAACCCTGAACCCCTCGACCTTACAAGCCCTATAAGCCATAAACCGCCGACCTGGCAGCGGATATGTAGCGAGTAGGTGGAAAAGGCAGAGACTCATCCCAAGCGCTACCAGCCCTGGGGGGGGGGGGGGCTCCAAGAAGCTCTGACAGCGTTTAGGGTCCTACAGGGTTTACGGCTTAGCGCTCTATAGAGTTTACAGGATTTATAGGGTTTAGGGTTTAGGGTCCTATAGGGTTTACCTGATGTATCGGGCGTGTGGGCGTGTAGGGTGTGAACGACTTGTGGTGCTTGTTGGTTTTAGTGGTTCGGGATTTAGGGGGGGGGAGGGGGTATGGCCTAAACCCTAAACCCTAAACCCTCACCACAGCCTTCTCGCGGGTTTCGGGTTTAGGGGCTTAATGGGGGCAGGGGTACGCTTTACGGCTAGGACCGGCCTGCGGCTTTGTAGATGCTTTAGGAGTTTGGGCCGGTTTGGGTTTGGGTTTTCCATAGCCCGTCGTTTTCAAAGAGCCGCCCATAAAGAGTATGGTAGACTTACTTAGCAAAATCCTATAGAGCCCCAAATCCCTAAACCCTAAACGTTCCCTACAACCCTAAACCCTTCACCCTAAAACCTACTACGGCGAATTGAGTTTTGGGTAAGGGCTTAGGGTTGGGATTTACGGTTTCAGGTTTAGTTTTGAGTTTAGAGTTTAGGGTTTAGGGTTCAGCGGAGAGGGTTTAGAGCTTAGGGTTTAGGGCTTAGGGTTTGGAATCTCTGGTGGATTCCGTCTTCCACTGCTTGACTTTACCATGCAAAACCCTTGCACCCTGAAGCCCCCGGCACCCTGAAATCGCCAAGCGCAAAAAGCGATTCACCCTGAGCCCACAAGCCAAAACGGCTCGCAGCCCCTTAACCCTAAACCCGCATTGGCGACACTCGCAAAACCCTAATACTAATGACTCATGCACAGGCCTAAACCATAAACCCTTAGCCCTACACCCCAACTACCCCCTCAAGCTAGCCTTCGAACCCCAAAAGATTGCGAGCCGGGCTTCTCCATCGCGAGTCCTCCGGCAGATCATCCGTGAGCCTTAGTAATTAAGCGAAGCCAGGTTCAAGAGGAAACGAGCTTTTGTGTTTTTTGGTTTGTTCCACGCTGTCAGTGATGCTGTTATCTGGTTTTTGCCGGTAGCAGGGACGTAATGAAGGCTTTTAGGGGGCCTGTAACAAGGATCCTGCTCTGTCGCGTCTCACTTGGAGGTTCCCCTCGTGCTCAGAACCCTGGCTTGGAGTTGGCTTGTTGGGTTGGGATTCGAAAAAGGGGGTCAGATTTAGGGTTGACTTGTGCGCCTTTGAGTGTTTTGGGATTCCATTAGGGTTTAGGGTTTAGGGTTCAGGGTTTCGGGATTAGGGTTTGGGGTTTCAATGTCTTCTGCGGGGATATAGAAGCTTCCAGGTGTGAGGCCGTGGGTATCAGGATTGGATGTCGGGTGCAAGGAAGGCCTAAACCAGGAAGCCTAACCCGACTGCCAATGACCACAACACAAATCAAACCCGAGACCCTGAATCACCAAAGCCAAATTTTTTACATTCCAGAACAGTACGAAGCACATGCCGATGATGGGAGGTGTGAGCTAGACCTTTGGTCTAGGCATCGCGCTTGCATTCTCTCCTCGGAAGTGTTCTCAGCAGAATTATCGTTCTGCCAGAGTTAAAAGAAAACGCTGATCTGATAAAACCCTAAACCCTCAACCCCTAAATGCTAAACCCTAAACGACAAAGAATTCGGAAAGGTTGCAAACACCGAAGGTCTAAGATAGATGCCCATCCTCTCTTAGGGATCGTTAGCAAAGTTATCGTTTTGTCCACCAGAGCGTGCAAAGTTGGCACAGCTGTCAAGGAATGGGTAAGTCATGCCTAGCTTTGGAGATCCTTGTCTTCCAGTGTGGAGGCTTGCAAGTAGCAAGGTCTTGAGCTTGATTTTGCAGGGTTTAGATAGACTCTGACCCTGAGTTAGAAACCCTTTACCACCGCCCGAGACAGCAGCTCCGCAATGCCTGATCAAGTCACTTCGCAGATTCTCCGCTGCTTCCAGAAAGCTCAGTGCCAGATTCGACATCGTCCTCGCAACAAGAGCTGGCTTTGCGAACTTACAAAGTTAAAGGCACCGAGGCATTGGCATTTTGCAAGGCTGGGAAGAACAGCTGATATCCCAGCAACACCCACGGCTTCTCTGAAATCCCCCCCCCAGCAGTTATGAGCTCGGCAATCCTAGAAGTGGAGCATCCAGTGCCGGGGCTTTAGAATTCGGCTGTATGTCTGCTTGACATCCCGAACCAGATCTCAAAACAATGTGCACCGAACCCGACATCAGACATCCGGAAACAGACCCTGTAAACCCTAACCTATTTTACATCATAATATGAATCCCCGATATATTTCAAGATACATCCCTGAGTTGAGGGGTGATGGAGTCTCCGGGCAAATCGGCAAAGGTTCAGGGATCAGGGTTCATAGGTCTCATTCTCAGGCTTCCCTGTGCAGGGCCCACCTTCAAGCAGCCAGGTCAACAAGATAGTATCCTTGCTGCGACCCAAAAACACCAGAGGGGCCTTCATAACTAGGATATGGGTACATTCTAGCAGAATGATGAAAAGGAGCTGTCATTGATAGCATTACTTGCTATTCCTACCCCGAAATTAGAGGTTGTTTGTGTTACAAGGAAGTTCAAGTGGGGGGGGGAGGGGGTGATTGTATCCCTCAAAAATCCCAAAGGAGCCAAGAAGGAACCCATCTCTGCAAGGACTGAGTATCCACTGCATAGGCACATGGTCCCGTAGGATCCTTTTGGGATAGAGGATGCGATGATAGTCATAGAAAGCAACCCTAAGGGGTAAGCTTGGTAATGATTCCGACCCCTATATGGGTAGTTGTCAAAATTAAGGTCCCTTTTTTGGGGTACCCTAAATAATAGGTGCCGTATTATAATAAGGACCCAAAAAGGGACCCTAATTTTGACAACCACCCATATGAAGGGCTTTCGGATTTAGGAGTTGGAGTCCTTGATTATTTGGGCGTTAAGGATTCTCAAGGCTTATGATCGGGTTTAGGGTTCGTTAAGGATTCTCAAGGCTTAGGATCGGGTTTAGGGTTTAGGAGTTCAGGGGTTTAAGGTTCAGGGTTTAGCTTTCAGGTCCTTGGCTACTGCCTGCCCGACGGCTGCGTAGACCATGCCAAACAGAGAGCTCCGGGGAGATTCTCAACACCCACGGGCTTTGGTTCTGACTTGAGCCGACGACTTCCTCGATAGTTTCTGGGGTTCTTGCTGCTTAAAAGGGCTGATTGGAGGTGGCACGAGAGGCTAGGGTTTCGTCCTTCATAAACACAGAACCTCTGGGCTGTGCTGCAGAAACCCTAACTGCAAGTAGGACCGGGCCCCAAATCCAACCCTAAAACCCCAAACACCACCGTCATGTTTCGAAGACTTCGACTCGGTGTCAACATGAAATCAATATCCTCTGATATGGACATTCTGCAATTCGGGGTCTTACTGCCAAGAATCGGAGTAATTCAATCTTGGAGCTGCGAAAGAACACCAGTACTCGTCATTTACTATGTCTACAATTACGGGGCCCTTCCTTGGAGGGCTGCGCAAAAGGGATCCTACAACATTGTACCATTCAGGGTCCAACTCAACCTTCAAACTGCAACAAAGAAGTCGAAACTCCCCGAGCACACATCTTGCCATGACATTCCCAAATCCAAACGGATTCCCACCTGCCCGAACTCCGCTGCTAACTGACTGACGTACATAAAGTTTCGGGTCTAGGGTTTTGGGGTTTCGGGCTTACACTCCCTTCGATGACAAGCCAGACACCTGCATAGCAGTCTGCCCTCCTAGTCAGCGGAGAACCTGAAAGCACCCTGAAGTCGTAATCCCTTCAGCCCTAACTGCCTACACTCGAGAGCTTGAAGCCTAAAACCCTAATCCCTAAACGACCGAAAATTCTCCCACCCCCGGTGAGCACCGCACAATCGGCAGCTAGAATAACCTCCATGGGTTTAGGGTGTATAGGTGTTTTGAAGGCGTGGGGCTTCATGATGTTTAGGACCATGGGAGTGGTAGGATTTTGCATTTCTTTATTTGGGTGTCTCGGGATTTTTTAATTCCTAGGTCTGTCAGAGCTTGAGGGATACTGCTGATGGACAAAACTTTGTCACGTGTATGATCCAGAATTACAGGGGATGTGTCCAGGATATGTTTCCATTCCAAACGTTCAGTTTAGTTCGGCTACTTGAAATGCTGCAAGATTTGGTCTGCTAAAGAACAGGAGCCAATAAAGACTGGGTTTGGAATGCATCACACACAGTCGCGGAGAAAAATCAAGATTGTGGTTCAAGTACACACAAAACTGGTCCTAGGATCATACGTCATGGGGGTTGTAACAGCAGAGCTGTATCGCTGTATCGCCTGAAGCAAGGCCTCTAGACAGACAGCGGTCAACATACTGGGTTTCCAGTTTAGGGCCGGCAATGCCTCTGCCTGAACCTCGGGCGCCCGCTCCATGAAGTGTGGCAGAAACAAAGCCGCAAGGAAATCCATCATCATCCTAAACCTGCTACTAACCCTAAATCCTTAACTCTAAACGCCTTAGCATTTTGATTTCGGACTTCGGAATTCAAGGCTACAGGGGCTCAAGAGTTTAAGTGACCAAGCACTGCAACAACAGCGACTATTCAGCGCAACATCTTCCTGAGCTCTGACAAGGAAATCTTCAGCCCATCAGGGCGCAATCTTGATCAAAAAAACATGGCGCATACAAAGTAAAATTTAAACCCTAAACGGCACCACCTTCTTGACAACCATCTCCACACAGTAATCCTTGTTGCTTCGTGCGAGAACACCAATATCTTCCACCCGGTACTCTACTGTTGCCCTACCCTAAACCCTAAACCGCAAGCCCTGAACCCTAAACCCCTAAGCACCCCAAGTCCTGCATATCATTACCACCTCCACCTTGGTCTGAGATGCGAACCCCAAGCCCTGTAGCCTCAACTTCAAGCCCAGAGCCCCAAACAACCCAAAGCCTGAACGAAAAATCGAAAGCCCTCCCATCCCTAAACCCAAAACCCAAGACCCAAAACCCTAAACCGTAAACTAAAGGAACCCCGAGGAACCTTTTGGAACACCTTACAAGACGCCCTAAACCCAAAACCCTATACATCTTCACCAAACAAGGATGCCTTAAAGGAACACCTAAAGGAACCCTTAACGGAACCCATAAGCTTAAGAAGCTCCATCCTAGGCGACTTGGCCTCGAACTTCTCGTCCGGGCTATCGAGAAGCTGCTCATCGACGGGCCTCAATGGAGTTTAGGGTTTAGGGTTTTTAGGGTTTAGGATTTAGGCTTTTGGGTCTATAGGGTTTGCTGTAAGGTTTCGGGGTTGACGGTTTAGGGTAATGGAGTTTAGGGTCTAGGGTTTAGGGTTTTAGGTTTTGGAGTGAAGGGTGTTCGGTGCTGGGGTTTTGCGTTTAGGGAAGTTTCGGGTATTTGACGGACAGCAGCCTGCATTAGCTACTGTACATATTCAATAGCACAATTAAACGAGCTATCCACCCTAGCTATAACGTATATTGCAACTACCCGTAAATGCCAGAAGTACTTATATGTGCTTGGGCCAGTCAGGTTAGACTGCAAGAACTTCTAGGGAACCCGGAACTGATGTATAGACTGTATAGATATGATGCTGTGCCGTCTACATGGCGGAGTAAAGGACTCCATTAGCAAGAATCCTGAGCGCCCACACCCGCGCACACAATATATATATATATATAGTTATAGATATAGATATAGATATAGATCTAGATCTAGATCTAGATATAGATATAGATATAGAGGCACGCTCACGCACGAGCATGAACAGGTTTCTTTGCATGAGATAACTTTGGTGAGCTCTCGCATGTAGCAGCTCAAATGACACACTTGTCCAGGCGAAGCACCGAGAAGCCACAACATCGATAATGCGATGCTATTGTTGGCAGCCGCAGACAGCCAAAAACTCGAAACCTTGCACAGCTTTTGATCCCCCAACCCTTGTTGCTTCTAAAGTGCTCCTACCCCGATGCCCCCTCAGCCATGAAGCCAAACCCAAACCCCAAATACCCCGCTACCCGAAACCTTAAGCCCTGAAGCCCCAAAACCCCGAAACCCTGAAAACCCTGAAACCCTGAAACCCCAAATTCTGAAATCCTGAAACACCAAGCCTCCAAACCCTGTGGTAATCCCTGCGGGCAACCCTGAAACCCACCCTAAACCCTAAACCCTAAATCCTAAATCCTAAACCCTAAACCCTAAACCCTAAACCCTAAACCCTAAACCCTAAACCCTTAAGGCCCTTAAGGCCCTTAAGCCTGGACCCCGGCTCGCTCCAATCCAACAGCGCAGCCCGCGGAGCTTCCTCGGCACAAGGCGCCGTGGCCTGAGATTTATTAGGGTTTAGGGTTTAGGGTTTAGGGTTTAGGGTTTAGGGTTTAGGGTTTAGGGTTTAGGGTTTAGGGTTTGGGTTTAGGGTTTAGGGTTTGGGTCTAGAGTCTAGGGTCTAGGGTCTAGGGTTTAGGGTTTAGGGTTTAGGGTTTTCATCGGGGCCCTGTCGTCGCATTGGGTGGTTTCTTTCCTGCAGAGGTGCGTGCTGCGTTGGTGTCGCTTGTTGCCTTGGTGT